AGGTTCTCTGACATCAAATCTTGTGTTCTCACCCCCAACCCGAGCTGGCCAGGCCAAAGGCACATTTCTCCATTTTTTCCAGTCCTGTCACTTCTCTTTTTCATAAAAATAATCATATTTTCTATTTCCCAAGTTAGCTTTCTTAGCACTGATTCAAATTGTCAAGAAACCTTTCTTCAGGGTAAAGGAAATAGTTGCATTTTCTGTTGTGTGTCAGGAGTCAAACTCTGCTTCCATAATGTCTGATCTTAACTTAAAATATCATTGGCATCAGCTTGAATGCCAGACAAACGGGCGCCTCCTCACCATACTAATTGAACACAGAGCACCACTTGATTTAAATACCTATAGCTTCATCATCTTGTGCTTCCATTCTGTTCACCATGAGGTTGCTGATTAAAACCCTAAGCGAGTCATTATTAGCAACAGAGAGCCCTGGTCCCGTCTTACAATTTCCTGACCAGGTGCGGGCCTCCGGGAGTCACATTTAGCACGGCTGCCAGGCTCCTGAACAATCCAGCCAAAGAAGTGACTGATTTCTCGTTAGCATCACAGAGGAGCTTTGCGCAGATTGTCACATAAGACCTCGCTTTCTGAATGGGATAATGACTATTTTTGTGCTGGCAGAGAGAGTGTATGTTGAAAGAGAGTGTCAGAAAGAGTCCTTGTGAGCCAATATCTTTTAGTGAAGTCCCACCCCCCAACACAACCTTGTAGCTGGAGCTGGAAGGGACCTCAGAGGCTATTGCTTTCAACCCTCCCATCTTTTGGAAGGAGAGACTGAGGTGTGAAGAACTGGAAGGACACGTCTAAGCTCCCATAAACTGAATCTAGAGTTGGAAGGGCTGTTAGATGCCATCTCGTTTAAGCCTGCCTAGTTTTAAATGAGGAAGCTGAAACCCAGAGAGGTTAGTTACCCGGAGGCAGTATAGTATGATGTAAAAAGTATTTATTCAGACTCAGAAGTCCGGAGTCAAAATCCCAGCTCACCACATATGTGACCTTGGGCACTTTACTTCCTCAGCCTGTGTCTTTGTTCCTTGTCTGTAAAAATCAAGAATTGGTCAGATGGTCTTTAGCTCTAAATGGGTGGTCTGCGCTGCTTGGGTAGCTTCTCACAGAGTGTGGCATCTCAGATTGACCCATCCAGACGCTGTTAGACTGGATCAAGCAGGTTCATCTGCCGAGTTGTATCCTGACTGGGCTCAGCCGCTGCTGGGCTGGGCTGAGTTACGTGGGTCTGGGCTGCTTTCTGAATGACGTGGGAGCATAGATCTAAAACTAAAAGGGACACCAGAGATCACATGGTTCAACCATCTCATTTTACAAATGAAATACATGAGGCCCAGAGGTTAAATTACTGGTCCAAGGTTACATAGGTAAGTAGAGCTGGGATATGTACCCTAGCCCTTTGACTCCAAATCTAGGGCTCTTTCTATAGTACCTACTCCTCTTGACCATTCTGTAGAGGGGTCCAGTAGTCATGAATGTACCACAAATAGGCCAACTTCTAGGGGTAATGTCAAACATTTGGAGCCAAAGGACTGAATTTGAATTCCTGCTCTACCATTTCCTATGTGTCACTTTGGGCAAGCCGCTTTATCTTTTTGATACCCGGTTTCCTCATTTGTGAATCAAGGGCATGATGGTCTCAAAGGGCCCACTATATCCATATAACTCGCAGTCAGAACTCATTTCTCGAGCCCTTTATTCTGGTGTCTTGGAATGAAGATAGATCTCCTTCTTGTCCTCCCCATAGTGCTCTTAATAGATTTTAAACACAAAGTTATAATTACATTTTTAAAAAAATTATTGCAATCTTTTATTTTTATATCACCTTAATTTCCAAGTATATCCCTACCCTCTGCCCAGAGAGTAACATAGGAGAAAAACAAGTTCAGTAAAACTAAGCATCACTTGAACCATGTCTGACAGTCGATGTGATGGCTCCCACTCATCGTCTGCACTTCAGGAGAGGTTGGGAATGCTTACTCTCTTCTCTTCCCAGGGCCAAGTGTAGTCATCATTGCAGGGCTCAGCTTCACTTGGTTCATTGTTATTCCCATTTCCATGGATGGTTGCAAAGTTTGGGTATATTATTTTCCTGGATCTGCCGACTTCAGTCTGTATCAGTTCTTATAAATCTTCTCATATTTCTTTGTATCATTCACATTCACATTCACATTTGTATTATTCACATTCACATTCACATTAAGCACAGTCATTTTCCAATATATAAATGCACCGTAGTTGAACCATTTCTCAACTGATAGACATCTACTTTGTCTCCAGTTTGCCAACTTATAGCTATTGATGAAAAATTTGCTTTCAGCACCATAGACCAAACATAACATCTAACAAATGATTTAAATCAACAATTACTGAGTTCCAGCTTAGTACAGTGCCTGGCACACAGTAAGTCCTTCCTAAATCCTTGTTGCCTCAGGTACACACTGCACCATTAAGCACCGGAGGGGATACAGGAAAAAGAAAAGGAAATGTGGCTCCTCCCTTCCGTGAGCTTACATCCTAAATGTGGAGCTCAAAATGGAGCACAGATATCAGGGCAGCGGTCATGTAATGAGAAGAGACAATGAGGTGCTTGAGCAACAGCAAATATTATGAATAATAATAACTAGCATTTATATAGCACTTTAAGGTTTACAAAGAACTTTTCAAATATTATCTCATTTTATCCTCACAATAACCATTATTATCTCCATTTAACAGATGAGGAAACTGAGGTAACCAGAAGTTAAGGTACTTATTCAGAGTCACTGATTACTCTAAGCTAGTCAGTGTCTGAGGTAGGATTGGAACTCAGGTCTGCGCCCACTCCCAGGCCTGGGCTTTAGCCATTTCACCATATAGATACCCGAAGAACCCAGGGATAGAGTGCCAGGGAGGATGGTTTGTGTTTCAGGGGCAATGATGTTTGCTTGGTAGCTTCATGCAGACCCACAAATGATCTCCCAGGAGAAGTCTAAATTTATTTCCCCTGGCTTGTACTCCTTCCTCATACCAACCTCTTAGCATCCCTCGTTTCCTTCAAAGCTCAACTCAAGCCCAACCTTTACATGAGACCTTTCCTGATCCTCCTCTCCCCTGCCCTTCCTCATTCTTCCCCTCTCTTTTCCTTCCACTTCCTTGTACTTGTTTTATACATGCATATATGCAGATTTGGGAAGTTACATATGCAAATGACTCCTCAAAGACAGTGATTGTTTTGTTTCTGCCTTTGTCTCTTCAGTGCCGGGCATATAGTAAGTTGTTAATAAATATTCATTGATTGATTGATGGATTGATCTGCCCTGAAGTGACATTTGTGTTTCTTGACAGTATATCCCTGGAACAAATGATATTAACCAAAAGAAAATATGCTTAGAGAGAAAATGTGTTTCCACTGTCTTTAGAACTTCATCATCTGAATCAGTGACTTTTTTTCAATGTAATTTAGCACCTAATTTTACCAGACCAATCTGCATTTAAATATGGAATAAACATCCTAACTAGAAACCAAGTCCCTGAAGACACAAATCTCTTGGCCCACCAAACCACTACCATCCCAGATAAAGAAGAAAATCCAATATATTTTTGAAATCATTTAATGTCAGAAAGGGATAGAATTGATTATATAAACTTTCCAAGGAGCACAACAAACAGAATTCTTAGCTGACCTTGTAATTAACTCTTGAAAGTAGCAGGTCTGATGGAAAGTGATGATGTCTGATGGTCCAAGGGGGAAGCCTTTATTAGTACACAGCTTCCAAGATGGGCTATACAGGGAGATGCTCAAAAGCCAATGAACTTCTCTTGCATGAATGAGTCCTGGGAGATAAAATAGACGGTTTAATTACACAGAATATACACATTTCCTCTCATTTCTAGAATTTTTCATTTGATGTTTTTACTAATAGCTTGGAGAGGAGATATTCATTTGCTCAGTATCTCAGTGGGAGACTCCAAACCTGTTAGCACTGAATTATTTTCTTTTCTTAAAAATAAATGTAAATTAGACATTTATTGCTCTACAGCTAGAAAAAATTATTCCTTTATGCAAAAGAATATTTAATAATAAAAAACCCATGCCAGAATTGGGAAAAGCATTTAAGAGAGTCACCATAGGAGATTTTTCTCCTCTGGTAATACTGGGAATGTATGGGTTAGAAAGTACATCAAACGTATGTACACAGTCATCTTAGCATGTGCATTTGTAACATGTATACTTCTCAGTTGGTAAACCCTTCAAAACTTTGGATTCAGGTGAAATGTTTTGAACAACGTTGTTCTTCAGTCATTTTTCAGTCATGTCTGATTCTTCATGACCCCATTTGGGGTTTCCCTGGCAGAGATCCTAGAGTGGTTTGCCATTTCCTTCTCTAGCTCATTTTACAGATGAGGAAACTGAGGCAAACAGAGTGAAGTGACTTGCCCAGGGTCACACAACTACCAAGTGTCTGAGCCAGATTTGAACTCAGGAAGATGAGTTTTCTTGACTCCAGGACTGGCATTCTATCCACTTTACAGTTATTCAAATATGCCTCAAGCCCAATTCCAGTGCACACTCTACTCACAGAGCCTTAAACCCAATAGCTATAATATTTAATTGATATAAAGTAGCAAAGGAAATTTTAAAAGAAATTTAAGCATTATAACAATTCTCAGCCAGTCTTACAAAAAATGAATCTTTCTGGAAAACTGGAACAAGGATAAGAAAGCTGTCTCCTGTTTGGGCAAACAGTGGTTTCCGTTGCCTGCATGGAGATCTTAGGTGGGGTTATTTGCTTAGTTTGCTCTCATTTTGCCAAGGTTCTATGTATACTCTTCGGCTTGAGAATATCATTGCTTACTTGCTCAAGAAAACACTTTTCCTCATCCCCACCCCCCTCTGACCACTCCCCAACTATGTCCTCTCTGCCCCAAAAACTCTTGAATCAGCTGCTTCCTTTTTAGACCGTGTGACTCTCAGAAAGTCCCACCATCACCAATCAAAGTCTTGTCCTCATGACTCAACCACTACATATCCCGACACAGCCTTCTAAGACAGGACTCACTGGAATTTCTCTCATTGAGCGATGCTCTTTAGGCTCCGAGCAGCAGGAGAAATGAAGTCCTGGAGATTTCTCTCCTCAGCAGTGCCTACTGCAAACAAATAAGTTATGAAGAAACAAGGAAGGTAAGGTATGCTCTATACAAAAAAGGAGAAGATGATCATATTTTTGAACTACTTTTTGTTCTTCCAGGCATTTATTAAATGGCCGTGATATTCCAGCACTATGCTAGGAACAGGATATACAAAGACAAGACAAGGAAAAAGGAGATAGTCTCTGCCCCCAAGGAAAATGAGGGTTGAATCACTTGTCAGCAGTCGCCATTGAGGTTTGCTTTCACTTTCTCACCTCCCCACTCATTTCTCACCCTCTTGCATTCTCACTTCCAGTCTCATCATGTGATTGAAGCTGCTTTCTCTAAGGTTAGAGCTGATCCCTTAACTGAAATCAAATGGGATACTCACTACCATTCCCTGAGTGGTGACATTCAGAGAAGTTCATGACAATGAGCAAAGTTGTCTGGAAGGTTCCATGATGGGCATATCTTTCATGTGGAGGCTGAAAAAGAAAGGCTGATTCAGAATCACTGTTAACTCTTGAACTTGAAATAAATCAATGATGATGAAATCTATGACGTAGAAAAAGCCATTGAGACGAAAGAAGCAAATGAATGGGAATGAATGGATGAAACCAAAGTCTCTACAAAGCTTTCCTTAGTCTGGTAAAGAAGGACAATATGGAGGGGCTTGAGCATGAAGAGTCTCCATACTGTTTCCCAAACTTGTCTCTCCATTTCCCCCCTCCATGCCTTTCCACTAGCTGTCCCTCCTGCTTGGAATGCACACCCTCCTCATTTCTGCCTCACAGAATTCTAAGCATCCTCCAAGACTCAGTTTAGTTTGCTGTCTCCTATGGGAAGCCTCCTTATTCTTAGCTAGTCCCCCCCCTTAAAATGACCACCTATATGCTTATCTGTTTATGGGTTGTATCACTCTCGCTCCTTCCTTCACCACTGCACAAAAAGTAAATTCTTTGAGATAGAGACTATTTTCAATTTTGATTTCATATCTCCAGTACCTAATACAGTGCCTTGCACATAGTAGGCACTTAATAAATGCCTACTAGATTTAATTTCATTGGCAATCACAAAAGTTGAACCTGTTTCAAGAAGATGAGTGGGAAATAGGAAAGAATGTGTTGTAAAGGGTACAGAAGGTCGAGCAGCTTTTGGCTTTGGTATCTGTTTCTTAGAAACCTTTTAAGCGCTGGTTTTTCCAGTGTGGTGAAAGATCCCATGGTACTTACTGATTCTCTTGCTTTATTGGTAAGTCTGGGATGTTCACTTCTGAATTAGCACAATGCAACAGCCTCAAATCCCTGACATGTCACCTCTTTTATATTGAGATCAAGGAAAAACTGATTGTACAAATCCTGGGTTCGGGGGCAGCAGGGCTGTTATTAATCCTCTACTGTATGCCTGATTCTCTACGCCTCAGTCAATGATTAGCTGTGGCAAGAGCTTGAGCAAAAGCAAGGCCATGTTCAGTTGCTCTGTGATGGAAGGTATGCTGGTGGATGAGGAGGAACTGTATATTACCTGTGCTAGAAAGGTTATGCTCAGTTAATCTTTATTAGCGCAGGGGATGACAAGGATGTTTCCTGAAAAAAAAAACAATTTCATCATGGTAGATGCAGAGTCTATGAAAATACAAAGCTCTGTGGCTCAGTCCTAGCACGAGCAGATCAGATAGACACTTACTGCCTCTGTCCTGAGCTCTGACATTCAAAGGGAAGGGCTCATTTCTTTTCCCATCTAAGAATGTCTCTTCCCAGCCTGGAGACATTTCTTTCCTGAAGGACCTTCCTTTGTGGGAACAAGCTAAAGCCTGATTTTCTGACCCCCTCCACAAGTGCAAAGTCAACCTTTTATAGGACTATTTCTGTTCTGAACATTAATGATCTGTGCCTATAATCACGAAAACTGGCATTGACATGCATCTTAATGTTTACAAAGTACTATCTTATTTGATCTTCAAAATCCGTGCAATCTTATTTGATCTTCAAAATGACTCAGAGAGATTATATGCTATCTTGTCCCATTTTACTGAAGAAGAAACTGAAGCTGAGAGGTTAAAAGTAACTTGTCCAGAATCGCATAGCAAAATGAGTGTCTGAAGCAAGATTTTAATCCAGGTCTCTCCTGACTCCAAATCCAGCACTTGATCCACTTTTATTTTTGTTCAGTTATTAAGTTATGTCCAACTCTTCATGACCCCGTGGATCATTTCCATGTGGTTTCCTTGGCAAAGATATTGGAATGAGTTGCCATTTCCTTCTCCATGGCACCTACTATACCATTGAGGATATAGCACTGAGAGCTTGACAGGCCCTTAGCGAGCAGTTGGACCTCAACTTTTTTTAATTGAATAAACAGGCCTAGGGATGGGAAATGATCTGCCCTAGATGACCCAGGTAATATATAGCAGAGCCAGGATTCAAATCCAAAACCATGGAGTCCAAATCCGAAACTCTTTGCATTGTACTATTACTATTATTTTGTACTTGTATCTGTTATATATATGCTTCTATTTGTATAGGGATAGCTAAATGGTGCAGTGGATAGAATGTTGGGCCTGGAGTCGAGAAGACTCTTCTTCCTGAACTCAAATCTGGCCTCAGACCCTTACTAGCTGTATGACTCTTGGCAAGTCATTTAACCCTGTTTACCTCAGTTTCCTCATCTGTGAAATGAGCTGGAGAAGGAAATGCAAACCATTCCTGTATGTGCCAAGAAAACTCCAAATGGAGTCATGGAGTATTGGACACAACGGAAAACGACACAACACCAAAGATATGTACATGTTGTTTCCCTCATTAGAACATAAGCTTCTTGAGATCAGGGAAAAGTTTCATTTTGCTTTTGTGTCCCCAGTGACTGGTGCAAAGTAAGTATTTGGTAAATGCTTGTTAATTGATTGATTGTGTCCTGAGGTGATTCTATCTTGTTGGGTAAGAAGTAAGGCAACATTTTTTTAAAAAATGTGATCACTAACTTCTTGCCAAGATGAGAGAGAGACAGACGGACAGACAGACAGAGAGACAGAGAGACAGAGACAGAGATAGAGAGACATGGAGAGAGAGAGAGAAAGAGAGAGAAAGAGGAAGAGAGAGAAGAGAAAAGAAGAGAGAAGAGAGAAAGAGAGACAGAGAGAGAAAGAGGGGGAGAGAGAGAGATAGAGAGAAGAGAGACAGACAGACAGACAGAGAGACAGACAGAGACAGAGAGACCGAGACAGACTTAGATTCTGAGGGAAGGAAGGCTCTACAAAACTGATGGGGCCTGACAGAATCGCAGAGGGAAACTGAGCTCCCAAATGGTGAAGTGACCGGCCCAAGGACTAAGCAATGGAATAAGGTCTGAGCCTATATTCTCTGGCTCTAAATCTAGCACACTTTATCTTCTCCTACTCTAGAGTTTAGGTAGAGGCAGAAATGAACCCACAGCCTTCCCAACAATCCGGATCCAGTCTCCTCTGGGCTTTGTAAGTTCAGCATCTTGAAATGGAAATGTCTCTAATGAAGTTTCCTTTCCTGTCCCCTGGAGCTGGACAGGGATCTCACCAGTAATTATTTAATCATTTTTCTTCTAAAATTCTCTGAGCCTTTCCTCCGTCCCTAGTGGAGTGGAGGATTCCCTTGACTGACTTGACAGGAATCACACAGCACTTTCCCCTAGGCTCTCATTCCCTTACACACACACACATTCTCTCTCTTTCTCCCTTTCTCTCTCTCTCACATACACACAACAGGATAGAAATTCTAAAATGATGCTATCGTTCTTCACTCAATTTCAAAGGAAGCTAAGTGTATTAGCAAAGAGTCATATTGCAGTTGCTTATGGAGGAACCAGGGAATTTGTGAGAGCACATTTAGGGGCTGCGAGTCAGTGGCGGTTAGTGCTCCACTAATGGCCTGTGTGGCCTTGAAGAAATCCCTTCCTCTCTTTATGTCTCAGTTTCCTCATCTGTAAAAAGAGAGAATTGTCCTCAATGACCTCCGAGGTCCCTTCCAGCTCTAAATCTCCTGCCTCCAAGGCTGCTCACTTTCTCGCCCTCCTGCCTCTATTCATGAGATGATTTCTCTTTTTTTTTCTTTTCATTACAAGGAATGTTTTTTGAGAATATTTAAGGCTTCAACCCTAATCACTAGAGAAACAAGTGGGATTTCAGAGCCTGACCTATCTTTTCCTGTTCTTATTTCCTGAGTTAGGGTGCTGTGTTGAAAGGGAATTTTATATGGCTTTATTGATGAAAATCCTTAGCATAATTTGGAGAGACTTTGTGACTAGCAATAGAAACCAGGAGTCAAACGTGGCGACTTAGAGATATCTGTTGACTCAGACGCTGTGAATGTGCCTGGCTCTGTGCCAGCTCTGCCTGTCCATGCACAAGGCCAGTCATGGGACCCCAGACGAAAGAGGAAAGAGGCATCAGTCAGGGAAGTGCTTTCTAATCCTCCTCAGCTACACAAACATGCTATTAGGGTGGTTCTTAGGAGCTCATCTTACACAATTGAGTTCAGATAGAAATGGTCCTGAGACAAGTTTTAGTTCTTTTACGTTGAATGTTCAGTGGAGCATTTGCACATCTGGATAAAACGCCTGCTTCTTGTAGCTGAATAAAAATATTAGAATGTAAGCTCGTCTTTTGTAGGTTCACTGAAGACATCTTTGGGATGTCTCCAGTAGTAATGAGGATGACAAGGATGGGATGGACCTCTTCCTACTCCCACACAGTTTTGATTTCTTCTGCTTGGTTTCTGTATTTTGAAAGCTTTTCATTCTATGTAGGTTGGAGATTTTGCCTACTCGGTATGCAAACATACTAAAAATATTCTTAAATTTTAATTATTAGTATCATTATTATTAATCAGAAACTTGATAGGTGCTAGCCTAGACAAAATGAAGAGGAAAATGAAATAGTCTCTGCCTTCAAGGAGCTTATGTTCTGCTGGGACAGCTAGCTGATCAGTTTGACTATGATAGTTTGGATAAAGTGGATCCATGTATAGTAAGAGAATTATTGTGCCCATATTCTTGGGAATACTAAGAATAGTTAAAAGTGGA